AGTTCTCTACAACTTCCTTCAAAAAGAGCAGGTCTACTACTTTTCCTGAAGCTTTGTCTGAAGAGACACAAAACTAATAGCTCATGTTATCCTTAAGCAATTCTTCTAATATGAATTTTATACTCAAGTGTGTGCATGCAGAAAGCTTATAGCAAGCTTGGAGGCCTGTGACTTCTCTCTGTTCACTCTGTCTTTAAGCAGACCAAGCTTCCTCACATGAAAGTCTCTCCAGTCCTGACTCTGGGGTTACAGACCTGCCTCAGGTCTTACCAGAGCACTAGTGCTCCCAGCTCCACAGGAAGGCAGCTGCAACTGGAGCCCCATTGCTGGATAACAAACAAGGAAGTTAACTAGCATAAGCAGTTATGTAGCAGTCACCTGCTAGTTCTTCCAGTTTCTGAAATGAAGCTTTGAGCTCCAGTTTTTGCATCTGTAATGGACATTAACATGCACATTTTTAACACATTTTGCTCTCTTCCTAACACATTTCTAACACATTTTGCTTCTCCTCTTCATTATTTGAATGAATAACTGTTGGTCTCCATGCAGACACAGAGCTACTCAATTTCTTAATGGTTTCTTTGAAGGGATTAAAATGGGAACTTCTGCATGGATCCTCAAAGTGTTGCAGGCAAGTACAAGTTGCTGCAAGCTTTGTCTTGCTTGAGAGACTACTCTGAGCACTCCACAGAGAGAGCAGGCTCACCTGAAAAAGCAACTAAGCAGTATGTGCAGCACAGGCATGCTTAAGTGAATAGCACACCAAAGAAGTTTTCCAGATATCCCATAAAGATAAGGGACGGAAAAAAATAACATCATATAAGGCTTGCTTTAGATCTTATAAAGATGTCAGGTTATAATTAAAACTAGTTCACGACCTAATATACAGAAGTAGTTTGGTAGTTTTTTGCCACACCAGTATCATAAACCCAGACCTAGAATAACCTGAAATATACAGCTGCTTGAAGCTAGAACAATTTTGCATACTGGAACAGCTTGAATGTCTTTGAAACTCAGTGAGAAAACTATGCAACAGTACAAAAGTATGCTGCACAGGCAAGTGCACCATCACCAACCACTCTGGCCCTCCAGACAAGATATACCTCATGCCAGGGAGACAAGAAGATTAGCAAGTACAAGAAAATCACTTCTGCAGATCAGGGCCAGAAGGCTGGCCTTTTTGCACTCATTTTCTTCCCTTCCAAGGGCTTATTTCACTTGGGGATTTCTTCTCTACAGAAAAATGTTTCAGAACATCTTCCTCTTCCCTGTACCACACAGTTTCCTGCACCCACTTGCCCATTTGTTATGGCTTTCTGTAGATAAGCATAAGCTAGCCTTCCAAATACCTTGAAAATTTAACACCTCTACATATCTAACACCTATTTTTCTCTATAAAGACATGTTTCATTCCAGCCATTCAACTCAATATTTGAACAAAAATATTTCCTGATGAAGATGGAAATACTAGTTTAGATTTCAGGCCGCTTCAAGGAGAAATAAGAGTTTTATTCAACTTACATGCAGTGAGTCTTATCAAACAACTCCAGAAAATTTTAATTCTCTAAAAATGCTATACCCATTAGTACAGTTGTTCCTCTTCCATTTTGCCAACTTCATGGCCATATTCTGCCAGTTAAAGCAATGTTTAAGTTTCAATAAGTCCTGGAACTCTGCAGTTACTGGAGGTAAGACAGACTGCTTCACTCAAAGCTTTCTAAAAGGAGTGTGGTGTCATTAGTGACATGCTTCAGGGGAAACCAAACACAAGTGATTGCTGGGGACTTTTGCCATCCTTCCCCTCCAGATGGCTTCATGTCCATTCAAGCTAATGTGAATGAGTGTTAGCTGGCTCTTTAGGACTGCACGGGCTACCATCAGAGATGTCAATCAAACCGAGAGGCTGTAGGGTTCAGGAGTCCTCTACAGTATTCTTTTGGTGATATCTGACTGATTTTAATCCTCCTGCACTATCCTGTATTCTCTCAACATAGTTATTCTCTCAAGTGTAGTTATTCTCTCAACAAGGTAGAATACTCAGGAAGGCTATTTTCTTCTGTTTCCTCAGCCAGTTACTTATGTGCTTTGAAGAAGCAGTTTAGCCTGCTTCTAACACTATTCAATTTATCTTCCTGGGTAAACTCTGAAAGACTTTGCATGCCAAGAAACTACAGCAGTAATTGTGCAAGGGCTGCTGCATGTTCATACCTGTGGTCTGTTCAGCTTCTTCCACAGTCTTCCATGCTACACAGAAGATCATTTGACAGTGGCTAAACTAACACACAACCCCTTTTGGCTCCACTATTCAAAGCCCCACAGCCTGTGTCAAGACAAGCTAATGTGTCTGAGTATTTGCTGAATATACAGGTATACGCACAATACCCTCCATCCCTTTTCATTCTGCTGCTGCAGGAATCTGTTATTTTGCACCTTGCAACAGGAAAGCCTTTTTCCTCAGAAAAGACAAGACATGAGTGTAACATAACATATTTTATTGGAGGTTTCATAGCTTTACCACAGAAAGAAGAAAAAGGGGATATACATATATAAATATATATATATATATGCATCCCCACCACACACCTTTAGCTAGCCAGCACGAAAGAACCCAGGAACTTGCTGCATTGCACTCACCTACTTGGTTACAATCACACCAGACACCAGCACAGTAGGGACGTTATAATCTTTAGCTGATGGACTGAGCTACATAGCACATTCTTATCCAACTCTTCAAGGAAGGCTTTTTTTTTTTTTTTTTTTTATAAACTTTTTCCAGTGGACTGTAGGCACAAACTCTGACGCGGTGAAAAGCAACATGCTGTGCTATGCTTAAGATCAAGGCTTAAATTCAGAAGCCATTTTAATGGCAAGAAAATCAATCCAGAAGGCCACACCACATAGCTTGGAGGGAAGTCACATGTAATATCACTTACCATAAGATTTAGATCTCTTTCAAGCTGTTTGTCTGCACCCAGAGTTATCTACATTAGTTGCTGAAAGCCAAAAGACAGTCAAGCTGATGAGTTAAAGGAGCATGACTATCACATGCTCTAAGACTTTGTTATATACTTTAATAAATTAGCAAGGCTTTAGGGAATATGAGCCATGACTGTTCAGGAGCCATCTTCTGCCTGACTTTCTGTAACTAATAATTTCTATATGAACCTTTTAGCATCCTCCAGTATTTATAATGAATTTAGACTATAGACAGCTGTAGAACACATTCCCAGGTCAAGCATATTAGCTACGTTAAGACCATTAAACAGCCCTTTTATACCAAAATCCAGTGTATTTCAACTATTAGCACTTTGCTGAGATACATCTGTGCAAGCCTAAGCTATGACTGTTACACTAGCCAAGCTTAGCCCAGATATCACTAAAAATAGGTTTGATTCTGTTCTCTGCCTTGTTTTAATTTGAGGAAGGACACAGCCCATTGGGAGCAGGATAGCCCAAACTTCCAATTAGATATAAGAATTTTGAAGGCAAATTGTATTTCCTCCCCCATTAAGACAAGCCTCCAGGGACTTAACAGCAACCCTTAACTGAGTGTTGACTAGCCATATCCACTGTTCAGGAAAAGAAGAGTGCTTTGAATCCTGAAATTAATCCACAGGTGTGCTGACAGACTCTGTTTTTACTATGGGAAGTTCTATCCAAAGTGTGTTACCAATTACAGCTAGGTTTCCAGCTAGCCTGTTGAAACAGATTGCTTTAGGGGGTGATAAAAGCTAGCCCAGCCTCCAAAGCCAAGGACTGCAGAGAAGTTAAACCCAGGGGTGGTAGCCAGCCAAAGCAGAGTAATCTGATCAAGTGTTCTGCCTTCAAGATTTGGGATGCCAGACTTGCTAAGATATATTGGGAATGTTCTGGCAACTCACACCAGAACTACCAATAGATAGAAAACACACATCCCACACAAAAACCTTCCTTAAAAGAATCCTTCTGAAACTCTTATCCAAAGGGAAAGTTGGCTATTAATTCACTTGTTCCTCAAAATAGCAATTAGCAAATGTGTTTGTTTTTCCTACAGGGTAACATTTCAACATATCACAAGAAAATCAGGGTTTTTTTTTTAAGTTTGCAAAATCATATTTGAGGTGCTTTTTAATGATCCTTAGAGCACAAGCAGGACTGAAACTGCCAGCCAGGTTTCCCACAGGCCCCGGCCGCCTGGTTTTTACACTTCCTGTTTCAGGAACTTCCACTCCACAGGGAGACTGCAATAACTGTTGCAGCAGCTGTGACTGCTTCATTATAGTATATCCTAGTAGCATATATTTAAAAAAAATCCTAATTCAAAATAAAGACCACTTTCTCATACCCTAAAAGATATACTCGGTACACTGCAGAGAAGAATACAAGTTAACACCCACTCTACATAAACAGAGAGCTACAAATCCAACACAGAGTTTCACATGCTAAGGTTACAGACCTCTCAAAGAGTACAACAGAACAGTTTGTATTGGGGCATTTAACACCTTGGCATTAGTAAAGTTAACTGTGCTGTGTTAAGTATTCTAGTTCTTTCAGAGAACAGGTTCGAACTATGGAGAGGGGTTCTGTGCAGTCCGCAGAGGTGAACATCTCCAACTCAGGTGTAGAATAGAATGCCGAAGGTTGGAAGGGACCTCAGAGGTCATCGAGTCCAACCCCTCTGCTCACGCAGGGTCACCTAGAGCACGTAGGTGTACTCAGAGTATCTTTTCAAGCACACAAACCCAATACTCTGAATGCAGAGATAAACATAACACAAATCCCCTTTGCTCACACCGAGCTGCAAGGACAAAAGCTACTTTTAAATTAAGTATGCCACTAAAAAGTTTGCCCACAACATCAGCTACCAGAGTTACCCCTAACCTGCAAGGCAGATCTCATAAACACAGTCCACTTAGGATAAAAAAAGAAGTGTGTGGCTAAGTGTATCTAGAGGTGCAGAGCACAGCAGCTGGATGTGAGAGGAGAGGGAGAGTGGCGGAAAGGAGAGCCGCGGCGCCCACCTGCGATGTCCCAGAGCTGCAGCCGCACCAGGGTCTTGCTGTCCCAGTTGATGACTTTGAGGGCGAAATCCACGCCGATCGTGGCCCGGTAGTGCTGCGAGAAGAGCTGGTGCACGTAGCGCTTGATGATGCTGGTCTTGCCGACGCCCAGCTCGCCGATGACGAGCACCTTGAAGAGGTGCTCGCGGCACTCGGGCACGCCGGAGCCGCCGCCGTCCCCGCCCGCCATCCTCGCTGCCAGCCGGCCCCGTGCGGAGCCCGGGCCCGACCGGCACCGCTCGCGCCCGCGCAACTTCCCGGCAACTTCCCTGCAACTTTCCCCCGGCCGCCGCGGGAAGGGGAGGAGGGAGGGAGAAGGCCCCGCAACCACCTGACTGCAGTCACAGGACGCGGAAACTCGGCGCCTTATGAGGGCGCGGGCGGGCGGGCGGCGGGAGGCGGAGCTGCCTCCGCGGCGGCTCCCCGAGGAAGGGCCGGGCGCCAAGGGCCGCCCGGGGCGCCGCTCCTTCCCGCCGCGGGCCCGGCTTGCTGCCGGCGTGGCCGGGCTTTCCCTGGGGAGCGCGGCAGCCCCTGCGGGGACCGCCGTGACGCACGAACGCTGCATGTTTGGGGCGCAGACGGCGGGCTTGGGAAAGGGCCCGGCAACTAACTGTGCTGCCAGTCCGTGCGAGCTAGTGCTCCTCATCCACGCAGTCCTCGGGGCGCAGCGCTGGGCATGGGCGCTCCCTCCAACCATCCTGCGCATCCGTGCAGGGCATGGCAGGCGCTGCTGAGCCCCGCGGCACAGGCAGGCCCGTGCGCACGCAATGGCCCGTCGCAAAGGCCGTGCTGCGCGAAGGGCTCGTGGCACGGAGGAAGAGGCCGTGTCCTCATCTGTAGGGCTTCCTCGGTTGAGCGCTTGGATCTGCGTTCGTTTTGCTTTTCATTCCTAAATTAATCCCCGCCCTTGAAGTGTTTGTTTTATTGTTCTTTAGATGTGCCAAAAATACATAAAACTGTGGAGCAAGCGAGCAGGCACACTGTTAACATCCAAAACAAATAAGCTTCCTGGCTCTAGGAGCTTGCGGTGCCCTGTGCACGGATAGTCTATGCTCAGGGAGAAAAAGCAGTTTTGCTATTATGCCTTCTGAATGGTAGACCCCAATCTTGGATATCTATTCCTGAGAGGAGAGGAAAAAAATGTGCATGGAAACAATAGTATCTGTGTTGCAATCTTTAGCCATCATGGAGAGTGGGATCCCATTATGCCTTGGCAGCCGAGAGGAGCATTTGGAGAGGGAGTCGCCGCGTGGCCGTCTAGACAGTGCGTGCACATGCAAGGAGCAGGATCAGGGAATATACGGTTAGGAAGGAACGGGAGTCTCCCAACAGGAAACAGAGCAGTGGGGAAACAAAACACTTGGCAAGTGATCCGTTGAGCAGTCACACCATTCGCTCCTGATTCTGTAACAGTTTAGCGTGTATATGAACTCCTTTGCCATGTTTTAAATTAGTTTGCTCTGTTTTAAACTAGAGTGGCTCAAGAAAAAATAAGCCAGACTTTCTCAGCTGGCTTGGAGCATGCCTTTTTTCTATGTCACACGAAAATGATGTATTGAATATAGATGGAAGTGGGTGAAGAGAATAGCTGACCAGAAAACAAAGCAAAACAGCTTTGTTTGTAAACATCCTGTATTTAGGGATGTTAGTTTAAATTTATTAATTTAAACTGTCATGCTATATTGGCTTCAAGATTGTTTTTTTTTTTTTTTTTTTTTTTTTTTTCCTAGTTAACTTCCCAGCAGCAGGAATAGCACCAGAGAGTAAATGAAGGGGAGAATGTTCTTGAATGTACTTCAGTAGACTTGAAACTTGATAGCAATGATACAAAGAAGCCTGTAGGTTATTTTTTTTTTTCTCATGTACTGATTTTGAGCAGTTAGAACTGATGGCAATAATAAATCTGTAAAAGTCATGGTCTGTTCACAGAAAACTCACAAAGAGAAATAAAGGCTAAATGTGATTAACAGTTGTTCACAATTAATAGTTTGATCAGTTTTGATTATATTACAGGGCCTGGGCAACCGAATACCAAATAAATACCACTGGATCTTGCTTGAACTATTAATTTGCCTTAATGTCCTTGTTATTCATTTAATCAAAGCTGACTAATATCTGTGTGTAACAACTTGGCAAAATTCTGTCATTCACAGTCCTGCTATTACTGCTCTGCCTCAGCGCAGTGCAGTATAATCAACCATGCATGAGGTTATAGAATAAAATATAATCACCATCCATTATTGCAGGGGATATAATCTGTATATCATGGGCTAAATTTTGGTGTCTCTTGGTCTTTTGCATGTAATTCTACTTTTCAGTTGACTCCGTGAACAGTTAAGTGTCAGTAAAATCCTCTATTGAGTGTGAGTTGGTGGCAGTATGTTCTACTATACTGTTACCTTCTTTTGCCTACAGAATTGTTACTGTGCCGTTTTAACCAACTTAGCTAGTTGGTTGCCTTTAAATAAGGCACCTGTGTCATATTTCGAACAGCAATTGTAAAAGCTGTTTGATTCTTTTTTTGGTGCATTAGAAATATTAGGAGGGAGGGACAACATAAAACTTACAAATCAGTCTTCGGGTATCCTCTCAACCAGAATGCTGAAGGTTTGAATAAAAAACAATTACATTTTTACAGCTGCTCTTTGCTGGCATAAGCCTATCGATCCAGTGGGGACCATTGCTATCAGTTTATGCATGTTTCACAGTGTAGGTGACCTGTGTTTCTAAAGGTATTTTGGTTCAAGGAATGAATGCTGGAAACTGCATGCTGGAAATACGCAATATCTTAATAATCATTAGATCTCGAAATACTGAAGGATTAGTAAAATAGGTTTTCATATAAAATGACACTGTAACATCTTTTTTTCTTTTTTGATTGTTGATGTCTTTTTGTCTTCATTTGAGACTACGTCATCTAATTTTCATCACACCAACTTTAATCCTCCTTTAACCTCATCCTTTTTTTTGTCTCCTTTTTGTTTCCATTTATTTCTTTTTCCCTTGAATGTCCTTCCTCACCTAACCTCGTAACTTTAAAACCTATAACCTCAGTTCAGCCCTTGTTTTTTTGTTTTCATTTTGTTTTGTTTTTCTTTTTTTTTTTCCATAGTTCATTTGCAGGAGATACACCTGAATTAAAGGAATAGCTTTCTTTTATTCTCCCCTGTAACTGCATTAGAAGTGAAATTTCTAGCTGAAGGGATGATGTGACTAGCTTGAAAAGCAGAAGTATGGGCACATGGAAAAGGAATCATCTTTATTCCAGGTCACGAAGCACAGCTTTTTGAATGCTATGATTGATTCTAGTTGCATGCAAATTTATGTATCTTCATGTGTTTGGTCACATAGGGGCTTCACAGAAGAGTTTTATGTGGCATTTCCCAATTGGCAAGGAAAAAAACCACCTGTGTTGTAAATCAGTACTGTTATAGTAGACATACTATATTGCCTGGAGCAGTGTAGGTGATGGAACATTTTATTTTAACAGTGTTTTCTTAGAGAAATGCCCCAGAGTGCTACTTTTAGTTGTATTAACATGCAAACAGTAGAGATCAAAGAAGACATATGCAGCTGGGGGTTTGTAGGGCCCTGTCTGGAGGAAAAATACTGCCATCGCCAAGTAAAACACTGGACAATAAAGCACATGCACTAGAGAAATGAATTAAAGCTAGATGCTACTTCTATATGAATTCACAGACAAATATACATGCCTAAGTTTTGCCCACTGAACATATTCATTTAGCTATATGAGAATACCAACAAATGTAAGGCTAAGGGTATATGTAAGTATTAGTCTACCTGGGACTTCACTTACTATATCGTAACACGATGTTTTGTCATCTCTTGACCAAAAATATAACCACATTATGTTGAGTTGAGCTTTGGGCAGTGTATCCTGTCCACATAAAGGACAATGCAACCTAAACTTAAAAGATTCAACTGTTGAAATACAGATGTTGTTTCTACTTCAGTTTTAAAATGTAGCTGGGATGCCTGCAGAGAGGCAGCAAAACAAGCACTGATAATATCTTGGAACGTACTAAAAAATGAAAACATGAAGGTTTTATTAAATTCCTTAAAATACTGTGGTATATGAAGTAGTAGATAAGTGATTTTGTCTAAAGGAGGAAGAGAAACCAGCAAGCGAAAAGTCTTTGACAGAACTGTGGAGAGGGGCCTGATGACCAAGTCTTGCAGAGAGGTTGGGATATCCTCACAGAGACTAACTCATGACTCATCTACGTAAAGAACTGGTGCGGAATTTCAACCGCCATTTTTATAAGGCAATCCAGCTTATTTGTTTCCTGTGTACATGCTTCCTATTAATCAAATTCTGTGATAAGTTTTTTTTTTTTTTTTAATTTCTGTTCCTTTGAAAAAAAATGTAGTCTCTGCAGTAATCAGCAACTGAATGAATGTGCATAATTTGCTGGGCCTGAGACTAACAGACAGTCTAGCCCTCTGGCTGTGACTGCTTCACATGATGCGGGTCAGGTAATAGTCAAAGCGCTAAGGCTCTTCCCCTGAACACTTCCCTGCACCTTTCAGTAAGTCTACATCTAGGAAGTTCACAGCAAAAGAACTTTTGAAGTCTCTCCCCTTCAAATATATATATATTTTTTTCCTCTTTGCAAATGATGATAACAGATCCAGCATCCTGGAGAAGGTATATAATGTACATGTGTATAGTTCAGTAGCCTGAGCTGAGAGAGAGTGCTCCCTCGGAGTGCTGTTGATGGGCAGATTTATGGCAAAATAACAGCAATACTTAGAGAGTTAGCACTGGTCTAAAAGCTGAGGATCAGGAAGGGAGGCAGTAATAGGCTGAGGTTCCGGGAAGCAAGATGGAATAGTCCACTGAGACATGAGTACTGCTCAGTATTCCCAAGCCGTGTGCTAGGAAGGATGCAGAAGAGCTCCCGCTTCCCATCCACAGGGCCTCCTCCACAAGATCAGGGTCCTGTTGATCACTATTCCCATAGACATAGTCCTAGGGCTAGGCATTGGCTTTCTCTGATGGTGACTGCTGGCACCTACAGCCGAATACTAAGGACCAGGAGCAGCAAAGGGAGAGGTGAGGTGAAAGGATTCAGGATTTACTTCAGTGATCGGCAGCTTTGTTAGCTGGGCAAGGGAAGATTCTACAGTAGGCACTATCCAGGCATGAACTGCCCTTGTGAGTGAGTG